ATATATTAAAAGTTTTCTCTCTCATAGTACATGCTCAGTCACTAAAGTTACTATGCATGGGTTGTCTAAAAAACCCGGAACCGGAATGTAAAATTAAAAATATTTGGGCATACGGGTTGTTATATAATATAAGTGATATTGCATTAATGGACTTAGTTTGTATATTATTAATATTATTTATTTTATTATAATCACAATTTGTAGTTGTGTGTACACTCATTCTAATAATGTGGATGTCATACCGGTAATAGACAGAAAGCGCATGTTTATGATGTTTCCGCTTGAGGGTGCACTTCACGTCTTGAGTCGATGTGTCACACAGTCCTGTGACGTGACGTCCTTGTTGCTTCCATGGATCCAGAATAGGAAGGAGAGAGGACACTATTGTTTCTGTCTGTTCTATGATAGTTATAGTTTATTTGCTCATTAGATATTGACCCCTTCATTGTAAAAGATTAACAGGGTTTAATCTTTTGTTGGTTGACTTCATGAATATCTGTATACTGTAAAATGACTAATTTTCACTGGGTTTAAATTCCACTGATTTACCATTTCAGACATATGTTCACTGGGTTTTAATTTAGCGCGAAATAGGCAAAATTAAAACCAGTGAATAATTAGCTCTTTACAGTAAGTGAAAAATTAGCCCTTTCTAGCTCCATGTTGCTTCCAAATATTTTTAATTTCACGTTCATGCTACTACAATAGATAAAAGAGAACCAAAACGCTATTTATAGCCTACAATGTTATCAACATCTTGTGCAGATCACAGTTCATTTGCTCATGGAGATTTTTTTTAGCTCCATAATTCGCATGATTTTGAATGTTGAAAAACAGTGTTTTCAATAGTAAAAAAGGCACACTAACAAAATTGTTGATCACATAATTCCTTAGACAAACATAGGTAAGGCTTATGCATTACTGTATTTTACTATATCTAAGCTTTCAGATGATATATAGGTTGTTAATACAATCATGGAGGTAGAAAAGAGATTTTCTACCTCCATGATACAATGTAGTAGCATGCTGAGTTGGATTTTTTACCTTTGTTGTTACCTTAATAATAATACTTTGATTTATTTTAGAAGTGTAATTCTAGCAGCGTTTGGTGCCAGTACAGGGGATAAAGGTGCCTGTGTTCATAGGTTACGAGCAGGTTCACAGTATGGAAGATTTACATCACCGCATTATCCTTTGTTATACGACAGTTCGACTGATTGTCAATGGATCATCAAAACTGATAGATCACACCATATTACATTAGAATTTGAAACGTTCTCATTGGAGGAGAGTTCAGATTGCACGTAAGCCAGGTTATTTAATGTTTTCAAATAGACCGTGATACATGATGACTTTTTAAATTTACTGTGAAATACATGTACTTCATTTTCGCTGGAATTAATATTCGCTGAAAAGACATTTTGGGTGTTTTGTATGGAATTTATTTTCACTGATTTTTAATGAGTTGAATGTGAAATATAGGGAAAAAAGTACCGGTATATTCGCTGGATTTGATTTTCACGAAATCATCCTTTCAGCGAAAATATCGAAAATAAATTCCAAGCGAAAATAAAGTACCGGGTATTTTACAGTACTATATATTGTATGTGCAGGGTTGATCGTTATCTTTAATTGGTGCTCTGTTTAAATTGTCATCGCCCTGTTATATTTCCTGTACGCCCTGGTCCCAGACAGAGAATTGTTTACAAAACAGACCATCACTCATTGTCTTCCGAAGATGATTCATCGTACTAAGATGTGTGCTCTTTGTCTGCATTGGTTTATAGAATGCACTAGAATGTTTTGTATGTGAAAATGTTCTTACTTTGACAGATATGACTATGTAGAGGTCCGTGATGGTGGGCATGAGAGAGCTCCTTTGATTGGTCGTTACTGTGGTCACGAACGTCCTCCAGTTCTTACATCCACTGCTCATTTGTTATTCATTCAATTTGTATCTGACGAATCTTATGAGAGAACTGGTTTTTATGCTAAGTTCAATTCAGGTAAATAATCTCATATTTGCAATCAGAAAGAATGAATTAAAAGTTTGGGGGGAAATACTGCTTTTATTAATTTTTGAAAAAAAATTTCATAAATCACATGACATTATTACATATAGTTTATTATTTACAATCATGACACAATGTAATAACATTTTTTGTGTCTGCAATGTCGTTTTTTGAGAACTTTTCCTAATATTTTTCAAAAATGACTACAGTGTATTTTTAGAACAAATGTTAATGAAAAGTTGCATTTTTTGACCATTTTTAAAACCCTGATTTTTATAATAATTCAGGACAACTAAACATACCCTATCATTAACAATATAGGATTTTTCCAGCTTATTTTCACCAGCCTGCCATCAATATAAGATATGGCATATTATCTCTCAGTCTACCATAGGAACCTATGGTAAAAGCGTTATAATAGTGCCAAAATGGCAACTACGGTACCACTAATTGGTGTCCCCCAACTTTTTATAAGTCAATATGCTTATAGGTATATGCTTATATTGCTGTTTAATACAAATTATTCTGGGTACCGGTATTTTTATTCATGAGTAGGCTTCTATTAATTTTAAGGGTAAAACTTAGAATTGCGATAAACTCTCTAGTCAAATTGTTTTTTCAGATATTGTCTTCTAGTTGGCTTTATTATATCACATGTTTGCATGATTGTGGCTGTTACAAGCCCTTCTTTTCATCTACCCTGATTGGTAATTAAAGTAGATAATATTTTTTTTTTTTGTAGGATGTTCACGGACACTACGTGGACAAAGTGGATCTTTCTACTCACCCAATTATCCCGGAAACTATGACAGCGATTGTAACTGTACCTATAAAATCATTGCACCCTTGGGTCATGTGATCAATCTTAGATTCCCAGTATTTAACTTAGAAGGTACAAGCAGTCTTGGAACCTGCGGATATGATTATATTCAAATTCTGGATGGAAGTAAGAATACATCTATTTTTTTCATTGGATTTGAATGATGTGGGTATGAACAGCACCACCATTCAACTTTATTTTTGAAAATATAAAAAAAATTATGTGAACAATTATGTGTGTTTATTTAGGGTAGCAAAAATTTATTTCACATTTCAAGAGATTAATTTATGTATGAGTTGTTATATTTTTCAATAGACTGTTCACTGAAAGATCCTATGCTGTGCGTGAATGTAAAATCAGAAGAAACAAAAAGTCGTAGTTATGTCAAAACATCACGCAGACTTCCACAAATACAACAGTATTTTTTGCATTTCAATGTTTAATAATGTGCTATACACATTTGATGAAGGTCAATTATGATAATGTAATGGTATTTCATCACCGTTTTGTCTACGAAAAATCAGCATTTCAGCATTGATCAATAAAAAAACAAACTTCATGCTCAAAATCAAATTATTTAATTTTTGCAGCAGACTTTCGTTCAGTCCAAGCCTCTCACGCCGTAAAATCTGTATTAGAATCGGCATTCCTAATAAAAGTCGCATGCAATCTTTTTGAACAATTGTGAACCAAAAATGTGTGTAGATTCTTTAATAGAATCTGCATCTCCTTTGTTGCATTGTACCATTTTAATAGAAGCCATGGCTTCTAATACAGATTTTACAGTATTTACACTAATATCTATATTGTGAACTATGCACATTATGTGTCAGAATTGTGTTTCATGTCAGTATTACTGAATACTTTGTTACTAGGTAACCATCGATACTGTGGACCAGAAAGACCAGATATAATTACTTCACACTCTAATGTCTTGACTTTGAGGTTTGTCAGTGATCGGTCTGTCAACTATCAAGGATTTGTAGCAGAGTTTGATACTAAAGGTATTACACATAGCTGATTTACTGTAAATAGCTTCAAAAAACCTACCACAGATCACTGCTCTACGATGCGGTGCAAAAAAACTGTTGTATCATAGGGGCTAAGCTTGTCTGTCTTGGACTTACTGGGTAATTTGCTGTTGTCACGAATTACAATGTTATTGAGTCCCATTGAGTTGCTTGCATTGGTCTGCACTTCCAGTGGTTTTGCAACATTAAAATGCACCAATCAGAGAATGGGTTAAAACTAGAAGAAGATGAGTAGATCACATGGTATGAACAACAATGAAAATAAAACAATTATAAAACTAGCTAAATACATATATGAATGTTTCAAAATTAGAGAAAATAACATGAAAAAGCCTTCATTCTCATTCAAATAAACAACAATATTATTATCAAGGTATATCTGCAAGGTTTTTTTTTTTATTTTATCTTATTGTCTTTCTGTCTTTCTTGTTTTTCCTTTCATCCACACTTTATTAGTCCCCGTTCGGACGCAGTCCGAAAACGGGTAGTCCCCGTTCGGACGCAGTCCGAAAACGGGGACTTATGTTTTGCCCTGTGTGCGTCCGTCCGTCCGTGCGTCCGTGATCACCTGTATCTCGAACATGCATGGACCGATTAAGTTCAAACTTCACTCATACATCACACATTATATGGGACATATGCACATGCATTTTTTTCATGATCCAATTAACGATAGCCGAATAGCGGCCATTTTAAGGCCGAAAATGCATCAAAATCACACATTTTCACCATTCCACCCGGATCTCAGTTATGCATGGACGGATTTTGTTCAAATTTGGTACATACATTAAACATAATAGGACCTTGATGCACGTCATTTTTTTTTTGGATCGGGTTCGAAATGGCCGACTGGCGGCCATTTTGTTTTAAAGAATTCAGTTCTGGATCCGTATCTGAGACATGCTTGGATTGATCGAGTTCGAACTTCACACACACAAGGTACATCATGTCACAAATATGTATGTGCATTTGTTTCATGATCTCATTAACGATAGCCAAATGGCGGCCACTTTAAGGCCGAAAATGCATTGAAATCGCACATTTTCACCATTCCGAACCCGGATCTCAGTTATGCATGGACGGATTTCATTCAAATTTGGTACATACATTAAACATAATAGGACCTTGATGCACGTCATTTTTTTTTTCGGATCAAGTTCGAAATAGCCGACTGGCGGCCATTTT